TGGGCCCTTTGGGCCCCCGCCGCCAGGCCAGGCGTCCTCCGGCCAGGCCCGGATGTTCCCCAACGCTCCCTACCTGTCCAGCTGCCTGGAGAGCCAGCCCGCCATCCGCAACCAGGGTGAGTGGGCTCAGCGCGGTCTCTCCAAGCCCTCTATGCCTCCCTTCACGGGCGAGGGGACAGGACGGGCGAGGGGACAGGACGGGCGAGGGGACAGGACGGGCGAGGGGACAGGGTGTGCGCCGTCGCCCGCTCCCTCCGCAGCCCGATGGTTCGCAGGAGCCGGGAGGTCGCCTGCCCCCCCACCCCGCATCCCGGGAACTTCCGGCTGCGCGTCTTCAGGGGAACCGGAGGTCTAGTCAGGGTACCGGAGCATTACCGCGTGGCAGTGGGCTTCTCAGGCGTCTGGACTGAGCATCTGTCGTGGGACCTGTAGGCCCCGGTGCCCGCCCGCCAGCATCTTGTTCTTGGAGCGGGGCTGCCCAGGGCTGGGAGCCTGGAAAGGAGACAGACTGCTCTAACTAGATGGCTTTGGGGACAGTGTTCACGTCTGGGTACCTCTTAGGCAGGGTAGTCCCGTGTGACTGCACTGCACGGGCTGCAGGGACAGTCGCACCACGCAGGCTGCAGGGACAGAAGCGACCCACTTGGCAACCACAATCTCCGAGACTGGGTTCTGCTCTGAGTGGCAGCACCAGGCCCCATACGCCTTCCTCTCTGCACGCTGGGCAACCCCTTTACCTGCCAGCCTGGGGCTCAGCTCAAAGAGTTTGTGGAGACTCTGAGGTTGAAGCCAGCACAGTATCTGTGCCCTCTCCTCCACACTACCCCAGTGCCCCTCTCTTCAGCACAAACCGGAAAAACAAGCGAAGAGCAACTGTAATTTGGCTTCTTTATTGGATTTCTATGCTATTGAAAACCTAATTTAGTTTAATTCCGTATTTTAGGAAATCCTTTACCAACACAAGGCCGATGCTTTTCCTGGAGCAAAACTTCGCACAGGCCCGGGAGTCGGCTGTTTATGAGGTCCGGGTAGAAGGGGCTCAATGCAGGTTGCTGCTGGGGGGTGATGCGACCTCACTACTCCTGGCTCTGCTCCCACCGCCCACTCCTGCCTTCACTCAGCCAGGATCATCTGCCCCAAGCCTCAGCGAAACCAAAAGCACCCTTTCCTCCCAGAGCACGGGGATCCCGCCCTGCTAAAGAACCCCACCATCGGATCTAGGAAGTTCTTGTACTTTTTTCAATTAGTTTCCATAGTCTGAGCGTTGGGGTGGCTCTGTGAAAAGCTCCTTGTGAGCTCCCCTCTGACATCTTTAATTAGCTGATTTCAGGATGGCAGGTGCTACGGAACTGGAGGCCTGGTTCCCCGTCTGTGAGAGGGAGCTGAGAGTCTGGGCCCATCTCCGGGCTCGGACTCCATGCAAAGCACAGCAGCATCCAGACTTCCTGGGTGGGTGACGCCAGCCAGGTGGACAGTGCCCTTTGGAGTGGCGAGAAGCAGCCAGTCCGACCCTCTAGGGAGCAGCTTCTGGGCCAGGGTTCCGCCCTGCCTGGGAAGCCCGAAGGAAAGGTGCCAGAGAGCAGGGTTGGAACCTACAGGTGGGTTCCAGTCCTCCTGCCTCACTTTCTCTTCTAATGGAAACAAACGGAGGGACTGACCTCGCTCAGCCTCTGTTCACCCGGGAGAGGTGTGAGGAGCCCTCTGGACCCTTTTCCAGGCAACAAGGGCAGGACCTTGACCCTACAGATTCCACATTTCTGCCTTTGGTTTTAGGGGTCACTGGGCTCCCCAGGAATGCAGGACCAAGGAAGCCTGGGTGTGGGCTCTGATGTGAGCAGACCGGAGGCTGCCTCTGGTACCGGTCCTGATGGGGCAGGCAAGGCCATTGCTGGGCCGGCCACTCAGCCTGTTCCTCGGGTTTCTGAGACACAGCTAGTGGCCCAATCTCCTGAACATTTCCTTACCAAGCACCAGCACCCACTTGGACAGACGACAGACGACAGGACAGGCCTAACACCTTGTTTCTGGCAGGGGACACCCTGGTACTGAAGAGTAGGTGTCTGGGGCTCAAACCCCGTGACCCCTGTGCTGAGATGGTTTCCTCTGCCCAGGCGAGTGCGCCCTGAACTCTTCCCTCTCAGCGTGTGAGGGGCAGAAAGCAGGGAGGACTTTTCTACCCTAGCCCCAAAGCAGGGCTTGGAGGGAATGAAGGGTTGCTTGCCAGCTGCTCCTGACTTCCGCAGCAGCACGGCTGGAGCTCCGAACCATGTGGGCATCGCTGAGCTATCCTAGGGTCTCAGGCAGCCACGTGCAAGACGGCATTTGGTCCTTCACTGGGAAGAGGTTTCCCCTTCCACTGTAGCCAGTCACAGCCCTTCTTCCTTCTACCCTCTCCATACCGGGGGTCCCAGCTTCCCAGCCCAAAGCAGCCTCTCCTTCAGTCGGTGACCTTTGGGATGCAGGGCTGATCGGAGAACCCTGGTCCTTTCCAGTGCAGCGGGAGGCAAGGTAGCGTCTTTCCCACAGTAAGTCCGGCTGGGAACAAGACCTTGAACTGATTAAAGGCTCATTTCCTACAGACCTGAGGGAGGGGACTCCTGGCCTGGCCTGGCCTGGCCTCGAAGAGGTCTGTCCCATCCTGGAGCACTGGCATCCTGGGGTTCTGGGGTGCAGAGCTGCAGCTGGGACCTGCAGTCGGCCATGCACAAACTGCTTCCAACAGCTCTCGGGCCTCGGGTCGCTGCCTGTTCATCAGCTCAGAATGGAGAAGCGCTCATTTAGAGAAACTTCTTGGTGGCTTTTATTTCTCCTTATCTTTATTAAAAAAAAAAAAAAACTACCAGAAATTTGGTTGCCCTTGGGCAAAATTGGGTGTTGGAACCAAATTTTGTCTGAAAGCCATTTTCTCTACTCCCAGAGGGAGCTGTGGGGACTCGCGGGTGCCCACCACACCCAGGGTGTGTGGCTGGGATCTCTGCCCACTCATTGGGGAAGAAGTGGAGGCCCGGGTCCCACCGAGAACCAGACCTGGGCTTCTTCCGTGCCGGACTGCATGCCTGGTGGGTGACACTGAAGCCGGTCAGTGTCCACTCCTTCCTTGGCGCTCTGGACCCGAGTGAGGCTAGAACCCCATTTGTGGGCCATTCTCTGGGTGCCCAGAGTGCGGTGACTGGCTCCCCGGCTCTGTCCTGACCCAGCTTCCTGGACACTTGTCGCAGAGACTGGGCCGCAACCACACAGGGTGACAGTGGGCTCGGAGGAGCCTCTGCCTTCACTTATCCCGAGCCCTTGGGGCTGGTGGTGGCCCTCAGAGATGCAGTGAGGGGAGGCCCAGCTGCTGCCACTCACACCTGGTGGGGACCTTGAGCTGCACACTTGGAAGTGAGCACTGACGTTGGGTACCCCACCCGAGGGCTCCGGTTCCAGTGTTGCGCTTTACCCAGGGCATTTCCTCCAGATGTTTGGGGTATTTGGTTAAAACCACGAGGGGCCATCGCACAAGGCTGCAGCTTTCCAGTGAGTGACTAGGACGGAGAGTGCTGGCTTCTCAGCAGGGAAACCAAGGCAGAAGGCCTGGGCACTGCTGTGGAGGGAAAGGGAGCTACAGTGTCCTGGGCACTTGAGAGGCTTTGGGGCAGGGTCCAGTGGACGGGGTGCCTTGTCTGTCGCTTCTTCCCCTCATTTCCTTCTGGACAAGCCTGAAAGCCAGGCGGCTGAACCTGCATGGGAAAGTGAGTTTTTCTGCCCAGGGTGCTGAGTTTTGCACTTAACTCTCTCAGGGTGAGTGCAGGAACCAGTCCCCTGGGAAAGGAGAGGCGATGAAACGTGAGAGCCCACACCACAGCCGGTCCCACTGCCTTGCCTGGGAGGCCCGGCTGAGCTGATCCCAGGCTGAGAAGCCAGCACCCCTGGGGCTCTGGCTCAGATTCACCCTCAGCCCCTCAGGGCCGCTGACCTGTGCTTCTGTCCGACCGCAGGCTACAGCACGGTCACCTTCGACGGGACACCGGGCTACGGCCACACGGCCTCGCACCATGCAGCGCAGCTGCCCAGCCACCCCTTCAAGCACGAGGACCCCATGGGGCAGCAGGGCTCCTTGGGTGAGTATAGGTGGCGGAAGAGTGGCCGCTCTTGGTCTGGGTGTCCTCTGGCCCAGGAGGGGCAGGAAAGCAGCACCGCTTAGCCCAGGGCCTTTGTGGTGACCCCAGGGAAGAGAAAGTGCCCTGCGCAGCCCCCACTTGTTGGGGCTGCCGGGCACCCTTACCTGTCCTCCTCCTGCACCCTCCCCACTTCCCGCGCTCACCCTGGCCCCTCTGTCTCTGCCATCCCCAGGTGAGCAGCAGTACTCCATGCCACCCCCAGTCTACGGCTGCCACACGCCCACCGACAGCTGTGCCGGCAGCCAGGCGCTGCTGCTGAGGACGCCCTACAGCAGGTAGGAGGCTGAGCTCTGGGCAGGGGCACCGCCACCTCTCCTGGCACCTCGCCTGTGTCCATGCCAAGGAGGGTAGTTGCTGCCCAGCTCTGGGCTTGGCAGAGGGCTTTTAGCTTCCTGGGGCCCAAGCGGGGACCCCCACCTGGTCCTCTTCAAACTCCTTGGCCCATCCCAGCCCCACCCCAGGGCTTGGCTCTCATGGTGGTGCAGGACAGGCCAGGATACTGTGCCACCTGGCCAAGCCTCCCTCCCTCTGCCCTCCTTGTGCTCTTCAACTTTAGGTGAACTTGGCGGGGCGTCCTGCGTCTGATAGGGTTGCTTGGTAACGGTGTGGGGGCTCCGGCTCACTGCCCCTCCCCCGCTCGGGGATCCTGACACCGACAGCCCCAGCCCCTCCTGGTGGGACCCCAGTGGGCGGGGGGCTGACGTCAAGGGAAGTAGGCAGTGAGGTAATGAAGGAAGGAAGTGCCCTGGGGGGGGGTGGGGGGCCTCCTCCGCAGGTGGAGGGGGAGCTCTGCCCTGCTCCGGGGACGCTGCTTCCTGGGAGTTTCTAGAGGGATGAAGGCTGCACTTCCTCCTCCCGTGAGGCCTGAGCCTTGAGGCTTTGCAAACCGTGGAACCTGGTCGATCACAGAATGTGCTCACTGTTTGCGGGGGCGGTGGGGGGGCGTTGCGGGGAGGCAGAGAAATGTGCAGACCAAGCCGAGATAGGGTACATCCTCCTTTTCTTCCCGCCTTGTTGGAAATCAGCTCTGTCCTGGTGCAGCGGGGCTAGGGGCTAGGGTCCTGCCCCTTGCCTGTCTCCCCTCTTCTCTGCTGCACCCCTCCTCCAGCAGCAGGGCAGCAGGCCGCCGCCAATGACATCCTCTAGAGCTGCTCCTTCCTGTCCCTGGTCAGGGAGTCTTGCTGTTGCTCCAGGTAGCAGGGGGGCTGTTGGAAATGTTCCCATGGGAAAACTTTGGTCCACCCCTTCCTCCTGGGCTTCTATGGTCTGGGCCCATCTCACCCCAGGTGAGAGGAAGGCCTTGGGGTGGGAGTGGGCATTGTTTAGGTGGGTGGAGCCCTTGGTGTAGCTCCAGCTGTGCGCGTACCCCGCTCCCCTCCCTGCCAGGCCAGCCCAGAAAGAGGAGCAGTCTAGGATGAAGTGTTTAATAGCAGCTCCCCACCTGGAGTCCCCGCGTGGATTTGGGGGATGAATTTGTGGCCACAAAGTAGGAAAGGCACTGAGATAGCATGTGTGGGTTGTGCGCACGCCTGCTGGGGATAGAACCCGGGCTGCCTGCGTGCTAAGCACAGACTCTACTGCTGAGCTACACCCCAGCCCCAGGACTTTGTTTTCTTTTTGCAGCGCTGGGGGTTGGATCCAGGGCATTGCCCTGGTGGAACACTGTGGCACTGAGCTGCACCCTGTCTGATAGCATTTTGTGCACAAGATGTTCACATTTTCTTATCCAGTGTCTCACTGGCCACTGTCGAAAGCAATTTTGTCCGTTTCATCTTTCAGAAATATTTGCTTATCTCTTCTTTCTGTAACTCTGGAACTTTCTTTGGTCTTGTTTTGCCATGAATCTCATAAAAATACCACTTTCTCTTCCACCCAAATTTCCAAAGCATCTTGAAAGAAAACTTTCGAGGCCTCCTGTAGGAAGAGGGTTGGTTTCTGTGAGTCTGAAGCTCCACCACCACCACCAGCCCGGGCCTTGACCTTGCCAAGCGACCCCTTCCCAAGGTCGTGTGTGCCGCAGTCATGACCGGCAGGCAGGGGCGGGGATGCTTTGAAGTGGGGTCTGTCCACCACGTCTGCTCCGGTCACGAGCTTTCCTTCTTTCCTCTTCCTAAAAAAAAAAAAAAAAAAAATTGAGGTGCATTTAAATGTTTTTGTGAATGCAGTGTTTGAAAAACGGAGTAAAATAGGTGTGAATTGCTTGGTGGCTTAACTTGTGAATTTTAGATAGTGGTGCTCCCACTGTCCCCCATCCATTCCTTTTTCTAAAATTCGGGGTCCTCCTGGGAAAGGCTTGCCTGACTCTGTGAGACAGCAGCGCAGCACCCCTGCACATACAAAGCCGCCCTGGGAGGGGGTCTGGGTTCCCTTCCCTGCCCGGAACACATCTGATGTTAACTAGGCAGTGTCTCACTCAGCCTGCCTTAAGGAAAGCCTGGAATTCCAGCGCTTCCCCTGTCGCCCGCAAGTCCCCTCCCTCTCTCAGGTAACAGATCTGCATTGCAGTGTGGGCTGCGCCACACAGAGCAGCAGAAAATGGCCTCCTGGGGAACGTGGGGCGATTTCTTGGCCTCCCTCCCCCGATGTTGAAGGTAGAGAGTTTTGTCCCAAGGTCACAAAACCGGATGGCCCTGTGACTGTGGGTGGTGGGTGTAGGAGTCAGGACAGCGCACTCAGCGGGTGTGCAAAGTCCCTCCTTTGCTGAACCCAGCTCTCTGACCGCCCGGGGCAGGTGCCATGGTCTCCGCTTCCCCCTGAAGAAGTGAGCTCGGGACTGGAAGGAGCTTGCCCAAGGTCACCTGGCCAGGGAACCAGAGCCGGGTTTCGATTCTCGTCTCTGCTCTTGAATTCACCTGTGCCCTGCCTCGTGGCAGATCAGTGTTGGCACTGATGACCCCTGGAACGGCCCCGGCAGTGTCCTTGCAGGCGGAAGTGAGCCCTTGCCGTGGTTAGCACCTGGCACGTGTGAACTTCGCTGGCCCACGTGACGCAGCAGCAACAGGGTTATCACTGCCGTCACAGGGAGGAGACCGAGGGGTAGCACTGGTGCTCGGCTTCGGGTAGGGAGCCTGCGCACTGCGCCCCTTCCTGGAGTCGGGGTCCGTCCGAGGGTTGTGGCACACAGTTGAGTGAGTCCTGCTGTCCATCTGCTTTGCCCACGGCCCGGTAGCAGGAGGTTGCCCTGGCTGGCCTGTCGTGCCTTGAGGCTGCAGTGGGAGGCAGGAGTTTTCTGCTGGTCCCCGCTCGGGAGGAAGCTGCCTTCACAGCCGGCTCCTCCAGCTCTGCCCGTTTCACTGGGCAGGAATGGCTGGTACAGCTCAGTCCAGGCACCTGAAGAATTCCAGGCAGAGAGCTCACTCCCATTGGCCCGATCTGATCTGGGAGAAAGGACTGCTTCTGGGTCACAGTGGAGGCAGGGGCCACCCCATGATCTCCCGGGTGGGGTGCCCATGTCCAGCCTCACTGAGCACCTCATTTCTACTGGCAGAGGCAGTGGGGCCTCCCTGGCCACCTCCCGAGCCCTCGGCCTCTTGCCTGGGAGCCGCAGCCCTGGCTGCCCAAGTGTGGGGTGGCACACAGCTGCTGTGAGCACTGCTGGGTACGGTGTGGGTTTCTGATTAAGACCGTTTTCTTTTTTACTCTTATTTGTCCAGTACATTCATCGTGGGGAGTTGATACCTGTACTTAACATCTTAATCTTTTTATTCCACTATTCCTCCCCCATGTCTCCACATCTCTTGGTCCCCTTCCCTCTTACAAAATATCTATCTCCATTTCCTATTATGTATCTTTTATTTTGGTCTTTATTTTATTTCTACTTTGGGTTTCTCGTGTAAGAGAAACCACATGTTTAAGCTTGTGTGTCTGATTTATTTCAGTTAAGGTGGTCCCGAGGTGCCTCCATGTTCCCAAGTCTATCCTTTATAGGGCAGAGTGGAACCTGATTTTTAGGAGGTGTTTGAGTCTCCCCCTTTTCTTTTTGCTCTGTTAGCCTTGCATAGCTTTCCCTTTCTCCGGCCCTGGCTGCCAGTGAAATGCGGTCTTTCCTCCTGGCCCCCGCCCAGCCCCGGGAGGAGTAACTGCCACCGCGTGCTGGTGCTGCTCTTGGCAGAGCCCACGTGTGGGAGACCCTCCTCGGGGGGGGGGGCAGAAGCTTCCTTTGGGCCCCAGGGCTC